ACTCCCTGCACCCTGTGTGCAGATCCAGGAGCCTCGGGTCCCGCTAGCGAGTGCTGATTGCTTCCAGCAGGCGGTTCGGAGTACACTAGGTAGTTGCTCGGTGTTCGCAGCCCAGTGCTTCTCCCTCTTATCTTACTTTCCTTGCATTAGTTCTGTAATAGACTGCGTAGTCATTTTCATACTCTTAGACAGATGTTTAGATGCTCATGGCTGGTGACACCCCGATGTCGGGCTGTGTTATTCCCGCAAATTGTCCTATTTCACTTTTATTTCGGGATTTATAGAATGTTAATGACTTAATTGAATCACTATAACTGTTAAATTGGTATTGGGGGTTTGTGTCGGCTGTCTTTGTTTCACGATAGGCGCCATCACGATCGGGTCCGGGTTTAGGGTCGTAACATCTCCCTTGCATGAAAGGGCACATGCGACTCTACACCGTTGGTCTAACGGTAGGTGGATTCTTCATATACGGAGCATGCTAAGTGGTGGCATCATGCTCCATCGTCAAATCCGGTTGCTCATTATCGCTCTCATTTGTGAAGTGTTGTTCCTCATCATTACTCTCATTAGGGAAGGGTGTTTAATCGCCTGACTCATCAGCATTGTTATCATATTCATTGTCATCTTTCTCACTCTGTGCATCTGCCATATCCTGATTCAAAATAACATTATCTCCTAACTGAGATTGGAAAAGACCGTCATGTTGCTCATTTTCACCGCAACCATTAAATAATTAATATTTTGTAAATCTCAACATAATATATTAACTTTACTGCTTAAACGTACCGTTGGTCTAACGGTAGGTGGATTCTTCATATACGGAGCATGCTAAGTGGTGGCATCATGCTCCATCGTCAAATCCGGTTGCTCATTATCGCTCTCATTTGTGAAGTGTTGTTCCTCATCATTGCTCTCATTAGGGAAGGGTGTTTAATTGCCTGACTCATCAGCATTGTTATCATATTCATTGTCATCTTTCTCACTCTATGCATCTGCCATATCCTGATTCAAAATAACATTATCGCCTAACTGAGATAGGAAAAGACCGTCATGTTGCTCATTTTCACCGCACAACCATTAAATAATTAATATTTTGTAAATCTCAACATAATATATTAACTTTACTGCTTAAACGTACCATTCATAATTTGTAGATATTCTCTAACGCACATTATCAAATTGTTGATGACTCGAGGATGGACCAACATGATCCATCGCTCCAAAAGTAGGTAACTGTTGATTGATTCATAACTTGTAATATTGATATCTGGTCGGTGACCGCTAAGAAAGATATAAGAGTTAGTATTATTATTATATATAAAACAATAGTTATACTACAACAAGGTAAATTACAATTTACCACTCGGATTGTGAATTATGTAAACTTGGCGACCCTCCATGCTGTTGTATTGGCGAGAAATTATGTCCTCGCTCCTCGTTAACCCGCGGAGATAACATTAGATCCGGCCAGAATCTTTTATACGAAACATGTTCGGATAAACAGCTTTGAAACACCACCGAATGGTTGAGTGTTAGTCGTAGTTTGCGGAATATCAGTGTTGTTCACTCCTTCGGACTTTACGTACATTTCCAGCATGCTTAACACAAAAACATCCATGTGTTCATCTGGAGTCTTTAAAAAATCATGTAGATGTTAAACTCATCATAACAAACTACACCTTGTGGAGTAAGTGAACGCGGCTATCTTCTGGTTATCTTAAGATTAACTGAATGCTTACTCACACTCTTTCTCTTACTAAATCAGAGATACCAATTTGTGGTACTTCAATGTGAGTGGCACCTTAACAATACACTATAAAAAACAACTATAGTGTACCGAGTTATTCTCCACCACAGCCTCACCGCCCTAATATACTGCAACCCTAATTTTATGCTCACCAGATATCGTAGCAATATTCAAATAGAACTTCCAATATATTGATGAAGATGAAGGGATGTACAAATGATGCTGAAAATAAAAGGCTAATTGGTTCAAATTCACTTAAGAATGATATTTGCAAGAATGAACATTCGGCCTTAAATAAGCAACAAAGGCGCGTGTAATGTCCATATAGCGCATGTCATATATGCGATGTACGCATGCGCTATAGTCTTAACGATCATGACAGCCGTAATATTCTGTATAGCGTATGTAATAACGGGATAATTGGTCGTTAAAGTATAGCGTATGTAAAATGTGCACTATATATAAAATGGTACTCAACCCTTTTTTCCACTTATTTTGGCCTCTCAAGTCCAAAAAATCATTATTTAGGTTTCGGATTCTAAAATTTCAGTGAAAAAAATTAATATCAAACTTTTTAAAAAAAAAAAAAAAAAAGGAGTCAGTCCTTTGTGAAGGAATAGATATGCTTGGTATGCGATTCATCTTCATACATCCATTTGTGTCATGCGTGTCACTTCCAATTGTGGGGTCTTTAGATAATTAGGTGAACTCGTTTGATTGAACAGAACTTAGGAGTTAGGAACAAAAGAAAGACTAAAAATATCTCGACACATATATAATTAGAAAAGAATGTTATCAAAAGTAAATATCTATTAAATTGTTTATATTTAACAAGTTGTCATTCCTTTGAAATAAATTAATAAAAAAGTAAATACCACATAGAACGGAACAATATGCAATATTTAATGAAGCGTGTAGGCCCTAGCTACGTACTTGAAATTTCAGAGAAGTTGAATGATGACACATCTATTCATTTTAAAAATAAAATAAAATTGGAGGTTGATAATGCAGAGGGGAAATAGTCCTCGTACAATTATTTGAATCTCGAACAATTATTCCAATAATTATATATTTGAATGCGCATATGACCAAATATACAAACATACATTTCATGCTTGTTTAAATAATAACAATGAAATTTTCCAATATTATACTAAGAATATCTAAGATTTTCAAAAGAAGATACCATTTATTTGATGAGAAATAAATATATATAAAAAATTCGAGTGGCTAAAGTTGAAACAACTATTTTCAAAGTAACAGAAAAAATAACTTTTCTCCTTTTTCACTTGGCGCTACAAGTTAGACAAATATTCTTATAATTAAAGATTTTTTTCTTTTCCATAAACAACGTACAAAAATAAGAAACATGATATTTGGACAAACTAATAAATTTTGGGATAAAAATTATTCTTTTCTAAGGGTGTGTTTGGTATGAAGAGATAGTGGCTTTATCACTTATTTTTTCATGTTTGGTTGGTGAGTGAAAAACTTTTTTCGGAAAATATTTTTTAGTGTTTGGTTAGAGGGTGGAAAATATTTCTTTAGTAAAATAATTTTCTATGCTACTCTCCTTACCATCTCCCCCCTCCTCCGTTCTCCCAAATCCTCATATTTCTTGTGCTCCTCCCCTCCCTTCCACTCGCCTATCCAAATATCCAACGCTTTCAGGATGCTATTTTCTTCAAGATTTTTTTAAAAAAATTCATACCTAAAGGAATTAATGTGCTGTTTTACTTTTTTACACATGGACAACGTTGAAATTTGAGCTCCACAACTAAAAAAAATATTCTTTTTCTTGTTGAAACGAAACAAAAATATTTTGTCTACAATATGAAAATTAATAATGTTATTGAAATGAAAGAAATACATCTTCTACGTCATGAAAAGAAATTACTCATTTTGTGGGGCAAGTGCACAGATAGCCGTTTTCAAAGATGCTATTTAGAGATTAGCCAGTACTTATTTTGTCCTGAAGTTTTAAATTAAAAAATTTTAACATAAGGACAACTCATGATATTTTTGTCTTGAAAAATTAAACTGAAAATTGAAATTCAGGACGCATTGGCTAATTTTTAAATAGTAGCTCTTTAAAGTGACTACATGTTGTTATTTCTACTCATTTGTTGAAATGAAAGAAACTATCTTTTCTACATCATGAAAAGAATATACTAATTTTGTTGAGATAAAAAAAAAAAAAAAAAAAAAAAAAGTACTTTGCTAACGACATGAAAAGAAAGTAATCTAAATAATATTTCTATTTTAGGGTGTGGGTGAGGGGTCGGTTGTGGGGATGGGTAGGGTGGGGGGTAAGGGTGGTGGGGGTTGATGGAGATGCATGGGAAATAGGGCAAGGAATGTTGAAAAAAACTTCTAGAATTCAAAACTCTTGCATTGACATTTATACTATCAACATTCACTTATCCTACTCCAATATTCAGTTGTTAATTGGTAATTGTAAAAAGTCCCTTCGGGGACATCCAATAAAATTGATAATTTTAGAACAACAATGTTTTCATCTCGAAAGTGTCGACAAAGACGCTATCCTCTTTTTGTAATCATCCTTCTTAGTTTCCTTTCCACGAAAATGATTAACGTAACTGTACGTTTTTTCTTCCATTACTTTCACCTTAAAATGTTTCACTTATTATAAATTGGTGCCATTTGTTTTTCTGAATCCTCACTCTAAATTCATTTGAAATATTTGATACACGTCTATACTGTTTACAAATTTAAAAAATATACAGATTAACCGAATGTTAAAGTTGTCGATTATGATCGAAACACAGTCCACCAAGAGGGTGTAAGATGATGGTTGTAGTACTACTGGAGATTTTATCTTAATCGAGAGGATCATATAAAGCGTAAATTACTTTATTTTGTTTATTAACCATTTTCTCGGTTGTTTTTATCGTTTATGCATTGCCACATTGCCCCCTTGTTAACACTACCTATCCTTACTATTGCTAGAAATATATTTTACTTTTGATTTTTGAGAAGATGACATATCATACTATCTTGATTAAGTGTATTCCAAGATGGCCAAACAGGAGATTTCAGTGTGGTGTTTGTTTAAAAAAAGTTGAGTTTTTCTTTTTCGAGTTCTTTTTTAATTTCCAAAAAAAATTCTCTAGCAATGGATAAGATGTGTGTGTATAACAGTGAAAGTGTTGCTATATGACTGTGTCCATCACTAGCATAACGCTATCTATGTTTGTTTGATCGTTAATAAAATTCACTAGCATAACGCTATACACGACCAGATAGAGCTGCATTTATATACAACATGGAGTCGAGCAAGCTCAACTCTTTACAACAAGTTTAAGTTTACAAAATCAGAGATCCCAAGGTTGAACAAACAGAAGTAATTACTAAAATAGACTAGTTAAACAAAATATGCATAGGAGTTTAAAGTACTAAACAAGTGAAACCATCTTACATACCTTCAGCAGAAGTAAATATGATGACATTGAACAATAGTTTAGATCTACTAACCCTTTCGAACACACAAACATCACCTACTTTTAGGTTATTGTCCAGCACAAACTCCTTCCAACCGGAGGTCAACTTAGCGTTTACTGTTCCAAGACTACATTTTACTGCCCATGATCTCTTGCTTGAATTTTGAAGTATCACATCACTATGTTTAGTAGCAAAAAATTTCCTAGCTATCGGCAGCGTTATGGACTGTATATTTGAAGGATGCATTATTATACAGAACGAAAGATTCATCATTAATTAACAGTGATAATCCTTATAATCAGGGATTAGCTTTATGTCACTAAGATATATATGCAAGAATAGCTATCTTACCAATTGCATCGGTCCGATGGCAGAAGACACATATGATGGTTGCATGAAACATATGAAGAATGGATTTTCTGATGTAAAAGCTTTTGCTCTTTGATATGCTAAGACCATCTCTTTGGCCACCGCACTACCCTTACAAGAAGACTTAGATTGTTGCACATGCTTCCCAGTGAAGACACTGAATTCTTCTGCAGAAAATCAAGCCAACACGACCACATTGAACGATCAAGAAAGTACCTTTAGTGGACTCTAAAAACTAAAGGTATATTTTCTGTATACATCAGAATACTTTATAGCTAGCCCCATTCAATCACCTTTAATTTTTGAAGTGAATCCATCTGAATCTCCTTTCTGCTTCTTTTCAAGATTCAGTTTCTTGCTGTGAAATATTTTGGGTTGAGAACATGGAACTGATTTCTCAGTTTTGATAGTCTTGTTTTTACGATCCGAAACCCCTGCAAATTTTGCATATATTTTATGCATTGGTTTGCTCTCAGCTGCACGAAATATAGTGACATTTAGAATGGGCTTAGTGCCGCCCTTAATCAATTCAAATACACAAACGTCTCCAAAATTTAACTTATTGTCCAGTACGAATGCCTTCCAAGAGAAACAAATTTTTGATTTTGATTTTCCCAGAGCGTATTTGACAGGCCAAGATCCTCTTCCAGGAACACGAAGCACTAAATTGCCACATTTCTCTTGGAAATATTTCACAGCAAATAAGAGTGATATTTGCTGCCAAGATGGATACAGTAAATTGAGTATAATGGATTGAATTAAGATTATTGGGGAAGTCTATAAAATTTCTAGCTTAGCTTACCAGACTGTATGGTTTCGAGACGTATGATGGTTGCATAAAATATATAACAAATGGATTCTCAGATTTAAAAGCTTTTGCTCTTTGATATGCTATAGACATCTCTTTGTCCAATACTGTCTTGTTCTTAGCATAAACCACCTTGGATTGTTGCTTTTGCATCCTGCAACTTTCTCCGCTTCCTTCAAACAGAAATTTGAAATCAATGTGTTACTACTAAATTGTCATGTAAGCAGATGATCAATTATGTTAGTAAGAAAGAGTAAACACTTTCTTACTTTTGGTTTTTCTTGTGATAGAAGGTGAAGTGACATGCTTTTGTGTGTTTTCCACATTGATACTTTTGGTGTGAAGGTCAATTGAAACATCACCCTCTGCCTCCCCTTCTGGTCTTTTTCTTTTGCTTCCATGTACTAACGGACAATGGCCCAAAATCTCAACAGAATGCTCAATCTCAGTGCCTTCACCATGTTCTTCTGAAAAATTTCATGGCAATATAACAATCAATAATATTACCAGTACAACAAAAGCTGTATGTATACTCCAGACTATCTTATAGAGCGAATTCAACTTTATCATCTTTAATATTTGAGTAGAAACCATATGAACCTCCTGTCCGCTGCTTTAATTTCTTGGTGTGAACTACTATGGGTTGTGAACATGGAACACAGTTATCAGTTTTGATAACATTGCTTTTACTGTCAGAACCCCCTGGCACTTCTCCAACTATCTTGTGCATTAGTGTGCTCCAAGCTGTGCGAAATATTGTGACATCTATAAAAAGCCGAGTGCCCTTAATCACTTCAAATACACAAACGTCACCACATTTTAACTTATTGTCCAGCACAAATGCCTTCCAACCAGAATAAACTGTAGCATTTGTGCCTCTGGTAGTGCATTTGACAGACCAAGATCCCCTGCCTCTGCCTGGAACACGGAGCACTAAATTGCCATAGTTCTCAAGGAAATACTTCCTGGCAAATTTCAGCGCTACGGACTGCCAGAGGAGATGACTAAGTAAATTGATTTTGACATAGTGCAAAATGGAATAAAGAAAGATTAGAGCACCACAAAGTCCACAAAAGTTTATAGCTTGTAGCTTACCAGATTGAATGGAGAGAATACATATGATGGTTGCATAAAAGATATAATAAATGGATTTTTGGACTTAAAAGCTTTTGCTCTTTGATATGCTACAGTGCTCTTTTTGTCCATTACTGCCTTGTTTTGACCATAAACACTCTTGGATTGTTGCTTGTGCATCCTGCAGCCTTTATTTCTTTCTTCAAAAAGAAAATTAAGATAATTGTGTTAATAGTAAATAGATCGATGTAGTTTAACCTATGCTAGTAGGTTAGTTACCACTCCTTTGAGTTACTAATTGATCTTATCATAAAGATTTACTTGCAATTACCAAATAAATTTCACAACCTTAACTTATACTACTAAATATCGATTTCCTATTCAGTTCATAGCCAATAAAAGCAGATAAAATACTCACTTTGGTCTTTTCTTATGAAAGAAGGTGAAGCTACATCCTCTTGCAACTTCTCAACCTTCATTTTTTTTATATGCATGTCAACAGAAACATCATCCTCTGCATCTCCTTCTTGTCTTTGTCTTTTGCTGGACTGTCCTAATGGACAATGGTCTAGGTTCTCAACAGAATTCTCAACCATATCAGGAATTATCGCGTTCGCTTTCTGGCTTCTGGGAATACCCTCAATGATCTCTACCGAATCATCCGACACGGACTGGTCTCTTTCTGGTGCATGGCGTGTTTCATGGGAATAAGAAATGGCAATGTGTATGCCATGGGCAGAACTGTATGGATATTCAATTTCTGATGCACTCAAATCAAATATAGTGACATTAAAATGAGAACGAGCATTGTATCCAAACATCAAAAAGTGCCCGCAGCTTATTGAATAGAAATCGCTGAAATCTTGCCATCCAGTGCCTAGACAAATTTGGCCTTGAGAATGAACCACTTCAACCTCCCATACTTCTCCAGTGGGAACCTCAAGATACACAGGGTTTAGCATGTTCTTGCAATATCTGCTCGCAAAGTCTTCCGGAATCCTCTGCATACAAAGAAGATCTGGACTCAGTTTCATACATCTGGAATCACAGTAAAATATAACTGTTGTTTTCCTGAGAAAATCCTGCAATATACTTGCATGGTGTATTCTCTGTTCTTTCAGAATTAACTACTAAAACAAAAATACCCACAGTAATCTAATTAGGCCAACTAGAAAAGATAGTGGATATTTTTGGATGTAATTAACCTGTGAATTGCGATATCTCAGTTTTACTATAGATTAGGAGAAGATATGATTTCATTCTTCTGTATCAGAAGATCTAAGCAACAGATGTATGAAAATAAAATAATGTATTCCAATAAGATTAACAATATATCTTCAAAAAGTTGCTCATTCATACTAATAGTGAAGCCTTAACCCCTTAACCTGACTCGTTCACAGAAGTCTATACCTAAAATTGACCATGATTTCCTATAACTCATACAAAACCATAGGCCTAAATTTATAACAACGTCTGTTAGTTTCGTTTCTTCACTCTACTCTTTTTCCAACTTTTATATAACTTATTTCTCATTTTGTCAGCACTGACGCGCAAGTATTTTTAATGGATCTGCAACTACTAGCCATGGGAAGTTAAATTGTATTTCTCTTTATTCAAAAGAAATAGTTGTAAATTCAGAGTCGTCGGAAACCTATATTCAAATTGGAGAAATAAAAATTAATACTTGATTTCATTTTAAATTTATGTGACACTATTTATTTTTAGTATGTTCTGAAAAGGATACACCTTCTATATATGAAAACAATTTAATTAATGTCATGCTTTTATAGCCACAAAAATATGTTTAGGATCACAAGTGTCAAAAAATTTCTATTTTTTCTCTCTTAAAATTCCGTTCACAATCAAACACTATCATGGGATACTTGAACTAACCAACTAACATGGAAAGAATAATCTGACTCTCTTCTTAAGAACTCATGTAGATTCTGTTAACCTACAAAGAAACTAAATCTCAGTCTTGATTTGCTTTGCACGAAGTCAAGACATGTGAATACAGGTAAAATAAGAAGAATTAAATGATACACAAAGAAAATTATAGCTGATGGATGCACACCAAAAATCTTTGGTTCAACAACCCCACACACACACACAGAGGACATAGATTCAAAGTAGCAGCAAATTAAAAGAAGGAAAACAAATAGAAGGAAGAAAGTAATTACTAGACGGCTGCATTCATGTTGAGAAAGTATAATCTTGAAGAACTTTGGTTGAGGAATTTTAGCACTAGAAGATTTCCAAATGGAAGAGCGTTCACCACTTTGCAATTGGGGCTTAGCTGACATGACTGATCTAATTGGTATGTGATACAGTAGAGCAATTGAAGATGATGGCAACACAGTTAGTGATAGATTAACCCAGGGATCGAGGAGACAAATAAATGAATGCTATATGTGAAATGAATGGATGTTAAATCTATTACTTAATGGTTCTCAATTTCGTACCATGCTAAAGTCCGAGTATTGCTGCATATGAACTTCCTACCAAATGTTATTATATCTTGTGTTGAAATGCTGAAGAGGTAAAATTTGCAGATCTGATCACTTGATTGGCCAAATTTGTACATTTATACAAAATCAATGGTAATAGCGATTCATCGCATTTGTTTCATGCTTTTGATGTATTGAATGCTTGGTGTTTGATTAGCATGAGTATGCTCCTTGAGATTTATTCTGAGTGGCTATATTTGTAAGAGTAGCCTTGTGGTTATTTCTGTAAATTTAGTTTGATTAATAAGTGGTCATGGCTAAAAACTCAAAATGACTGTTTTTATAAAGGCAGAATAGCCTAAATGGTACCTATACTTGTGCCACTTTGTCATGCCGGTGTCCAAACTTAACAATTTATCAATTGAACACTTACACTCCTTCAAACCGTGTATAATAAACGTGTCACGATCCGAAATTCCCACCATCGGGACCGTGATGGCGCCTAACATCGCACTCGCTAGGCAAGCCAACGTTAGAGTTTTATTCATCTTTTTCCTTTGCATTTCATAGATTGAAGTTAACAAAACTAAATCAAGTTGAAATAAATGCGGAAATACGTAATTAACTTGTCATCTATATACTATTAACAATACCATAACTGTTACTACCTAAAAATTGATGTCACAATCCACGAATATACTATGAATATCTACAAACATTGATCTGAAAGAAATTACATCTGTCTCGAAAGAAAAGAAAACAGGAATGTAGAAACATAGGAGGGGACGCCAGGGCCTGCGGACGCCAGCAGGACAACTTTGGGTCGCCTGGATGAAATGTCTGCAACCGACCTCTCGATCAGCCACTACCAGCTCCAAAATCTGCACAGAAAGTGCAGAGTGCAGTATCGGTACAACTGACCCAATATACTGGTAAGTGCCGAGCCTAACCTCGACGAGGTAGTGACGAGGCTACGGCGGGGCAGTTACAATATAACCTGTATTCAATGCATAATGAAACAGAAAGAAGAACGGAACAAAAAAATAGTAACTGGCAAGGAAAGAATACAGAATTCCGGTGTCTCATCAGTAACCAGCTATAACCAATCTTTAAATGTAAAGCCAAATTACAGAATAACTTACACAGTAGAAGAAAGGTACGTAAACACATAAACTGATGTGGCGCGCATCCCGATCCCACCATATAACAAATATCAATATAAATATTCACCCTTATTACTCCATTTCAATCCATATTTATTCCTCCTGTTGCAGCGTGCAACCCGATCCCACCGTACAATAGTAATTCATCCTTATTTCTCCTCAACATACAACCCTTATTACTCTTGTTGCAACGTGCAACCCGATCCCACCAGACAATAGCATTTCACCCTTATTCCTCCTCAATATCACCCTTATTCCTCCTGTTGCGGCGCGCAAATCGATCCCACCATATCAGTACCAATCACACAATAAGAACATGAATTTCATAATTTAGCTCAAAACCTTCCACAATATTTAATCCTCAAACCAAAACAAACAGAAGCTATACAATTATGAAACTACACTCAATTAATACTACACAGCGAGACCAACCAAAATATACCATGAAACACCGATAAACCAACTTAAACCAATAATATAATACAATGAAACTACGGAATAGTTAATACCTTCAATAAAAAGAATAACATCTAACAAGAAGCCATTAAACATGGAAACACCAATAAGCATGCAGCAGTTAAGACAAGAAGACAATATATTAAGAACAGGGAAAAAAACAGGCTAAACAGATAATTTGGCGGCGCATAGGTACTCGTGTACCTTACCTATACGTCACACACATGGATTTTCACATAGCAATTAAGTCGGGGATCCCTAATCCCTCAAGTCAAAGTTAGACACAATACTTACCTCGATCCACAGGCCACTCACTGCTCAATTATCGCTTTTCCTCTAGTTTCCACCTCCGAACCACTCGTATCTAGCCATAATTAACTTAATAACATCAAATATCGCTAAAAAAATCAATTCCAATACATAATTATAAGTTTCCCAACATCTCCCCCAAAAAGTCAAAAACCGACCCCGTGCCCGCTTGGTCAAAACTCGAGGTTCGGACCAACCCATTCACCCCTGAGCCCAAATATGTAATTAGTTCCGGAATCCGACCCCAAATCGAGGTCTAAATGCCCAATTTATAAAAAAACTAATTGTTCCAAAAATCCCTAATTCTACTATGAAAGAACAAGATTTAGGGCTAGAAATCTAATGGTATTGATGGAAATTGAAGAAAATGAGTTAAAGAATACAAACATATGATTTGGTGTTGAAATCCCTTTCAAAATTGCTCCTAGGTGGAGTTCTAATGTAAGAATTGTGAAATTTTTGAAGAAATCCCGTGTTGGTTCTGTTTTAAAATCACTAGACAGGCCTTATTCGCGTTCGCGAGAGGCCTGTCGCGATCGCGAAGCTATGGACATACTGGCCTATGCGTTCGCGAGAAACCCTTCGCGTTAGCGAAGGCATACTCCTCCCAGCCTCTACGTTCGCGAGCCATGTGCCGCGTTCGCGATGAGTTATCTTCCCCTCCCCCAGGTCCCACTGTTTCGTGTTCGCGATAGCCTGGTCGCGTTCGCGAAGGCTAATGCCTCCAATGCTCCGCGTTCGCGACCAGCACTTCTTGTTCGCGTAGAAGGAATTCTCCTACAGGCCAACTTACTCCTCGCGTTCGCGGGAGTCCCTTCGCGAACGCGAAGAAGAAGATACCAGATGACAGCTGAAGCCAAAAACACCAGAATTTTCAAGTCTAAAACATCCCGGAGCCTATCTGAAACTCACCCGAGCCCTCGGGGCTCCAAACCAAACATGGACACAAGTCTAAAAACATCATACGGACTTGTACTATTATTGTCATTGGGCTAATCGAGCCGAAAGCTTCAAATGGGCACAGATTCATCTTAGTTGCCATTGACTATTTCACAAAGTGGGTTGAAGCAGTCACTTTCAAAGACGTCACCAAGAAAGCGGTGGTGGACTTCGTGCATTCCAACATTATCTGTCGTTTTGGTATTCCTAAGACTATCATTACGGATAATGCTGCAAACCTGAACAGTCGTTTGATGAGGGAGGTATGGGAACAATTTAAGATCATGCATCGAAATTCTACTCCTTATCGACCCAAAGCTAATGGTGATCTTGAAGCGGCAAATAAAAATATCAAGAAGATCCTCAGGAAAATGATTCAAAGTTCTAGACAATGGCATGAAAAGCTGCCTTTTGCATTGTTAGGATACCGCACAACCGTGCACACATCAGTTGGGGCAACACCCTATTTATTGGTTTATGGCACTGAAGCTGTAATACCTGCAGAAGTTGAGATTTCCTCTCTTCGAATCATTTTTGAAGCTGAGATTGAGGATAATGAATGGGTCAAGACCCGTTTAGAACAGTTAACCATGATTGATGAAAAGAGGATGGCCGTAGTCTGCCACGGGCAGTTGTATCAACAAAGAATGGCCCGTGCCTACAACAAGAAAGTGCGGCCTAGAAGCTTTGAAGTGGGGCAGCTTGTTCTAAGACGTATTCTCCAGCATCATGAGGAAGCAAAAGGAAAGTTCGCTCCAAATTAGAAAGGTCCGTACATTATAAGAAAACTGTTGCCAAAAGGGGCATTGTACTTGGGAGACATTGAAGGAAATGACCCCGAAATAACTATCAATGCAGATATGGTCAAAAGGTATTATGTTTAACCCTTTTGCGGTACTAATATTTTCCGATTGGGATGACAAAGGCTTTCATTCTCGCTACCCAAACACTGTTAACCCTTTGCAAACCCTTTGATTCTGGTTACTTTTCTTTGATTACCCTTTTTGGAACTCGAAAATGTTTGTTTAAGAAAAAAACAGGTAAAAAAACAAAGTTCCCTGAACTATGTTTGACTTGATTCCGAAAGGATACGTAGGCAGCCTCTCGCTGGGGTTCAGTCACACCAAAACAAAAATCCATATATCCCCAAGTTGAAACTAGGGCAGAAATTACAATGACCGGCGATGGTTTCGCCTGAAAGGTTCCAAAGTTGTAATTCAATTCAATCCTGTTCAAGTCCTTCCGATCAATCGGTAAAGATATTCAAAATTGGAGAATGTGGTTACTCGGATTTGATGCAATCAAATAAGAGAAATAAAATGAGAGATTCTTATTGGTGAAAACCCACACGAGCACCATAGGGCGATAGTAAGTAGAGAAACTGGAAATGAGAGAGTCTTGTTAGTGAAAACCCGCAAAGAGCACTATAAGGCGACAGTGAGAAGATAAGTGAGAGAAGTCAGCTGGTGAAGACCCGCAAAGGGCACCACTGATCGAAAAGGGGATCCTCAAAGTCATCGGTATCGACAGAGTCCTGGCAAGGTCTCGGTTTTTGAGGTATGAGTTATGATGGGTTTATGAGAGTTAGACGGTTTACACAGATCGCGTATCCAATCCAAGAGGCATGTCATGTTCATTGAAGTCCGCATGTACTCCAGATAAGTCCTTTTTTCCTTTCCACGAAAGGGACACCTCTCGTTTTAAATTTATTATCCTGTCCAATGTTTATTTTTCTTTGAATCCCTTTCTGCCTAATTCTGTTCCAAATTAAAATAAAGAAAAGATGGCAAGATTTGGTTTACAGGGTTTGGTTTGACAAAAAGCCAATATTCAAGAAAGGCACCTAGCCTCAGCAGGTGCATCAAGTCGACCTCGACTGGCCATGATGGCCGATGCTTCGGAGTCAAAAACTCTTGAAAAGAAAGGAAATCAAAGTCAAATGCCCATAAAGGCAAAATAAGGTGGAAAAAGGCCAAGTACCACACGGGTTAACCATCATGTGAAAGTTTGGCAAAAGTCAAGATCCCCGGGGTTTAGGAATGAAACCAATTCCCAGAAAGCAAGCAAGCAATGGAGATCTTTATTGAAAGAGACGGGCCGAGATCAAGTGATTGAAATGCTCAAGGCCACAAAACCAACTACCGTTTCAAACTGACAAATTGTTCTTTGTTGGAAAAACAGGGAAAAACAGGTGCAATTCAAAGCAACCTTGCAAGAAGCAGTGCGATAAAAGCAAAATACGCAGAGACCAAAATAGTTCTGTAGCAAAAGTCAATCCAAAAGGAAAGTCCCCTCCAAATTCTTTATTCATTCTCTTAAATAAAAATGAAAAGTGAAA